AAGTGATAGAAGGCAGAATATGGCAGAGAAGGAAGATACAGGGATGTTTGAGTGCTGTAATAGAGAGTCCTTGCTGGTTCCAGGCACAAGGGACTTTTGACACGAGAACAGTAGGGCTAACCTTAGCTTTAGCATAAGAGTTATTACTCTGCCTTCGTTCTGGTGAAATCTAGAGCTGGGCTTTAAAATTACCTAGCTGAACTAAAAGTAACATCTTAAAAACAAGATCTGACACTTTAAAGGAATAAAACAAATTCTACTGCTTATGGTGTCAAGCATCTAATCAAAAGCTGTTATACATGGAAAAGGCTATGAAAATATGACTGCTCATAATAACTAGCAGAAAAATCAGTCAATAGAAATAGATCTGGAAACTGACAGAAGTGATGAATTTAGCAGCTACAGACTTTGAGACCTCTAGGCAAAGAATGTTTAACTGTTTTCAGAAGAAAAATGAACACAGTCAAACAACTGAGAGATAATCAAGTGGGACTTGTGGAGGTTAACGTACTAAGTGCCTGGGATGACACCCTTAGTACATCATATTCTACTGCATGGTAAAGCTTACAGAAAAAACACTGGAGATGACATAAACTATTTAGTGACCAAACAGCTGAAACACAGGTAAGTGAGGTCCCAAGTGGTAAAAGTAGCTTGGGGGAAGCAAAAGTGTTTCAGAAGAAATAATGACCAAAAATGGTCCAAATGTAGTAGTAACCATGGAGCCACATTCCAGGCTCAGTGAACCACAGACAGTGTAAACACAAGAAGAACCACACCGTAGTCAAATTGTTGATACCTGGGAATACAAAGCAAATCTTAAAAATAGCTTGAGGGATAAGGAGAGGTGAAATCGTATTTCATTCAAAGGAGCAAAGTTAACCAGGGAGAGATTTTCTTGCTTGAAACTCTGTAAGCCCAAGGACAATGGAGATAAATCAATTGATTGCTGGAGGAATATACAATCTAGAATTTTATACAGAATTTAAAGTTGAAGTCAAATGCAATTTTCTTTCAGGTGAACTAAGATTGATATTTGTTAACCCAGAGTTCCTTTTTACAAAGTGGTAAAGGAATTATTCAAATTTGAGGAAAGTGATGTTACTATTACATAGAAACGTGGATGTATACAGAGTGACAAGTTTATAGGCATATGATTTCCCTCTTGTTTAATTTAAAAGATTATTGATTTTGTGTAAAGCATGACAGTATTTATTTTGGCTGGTTATAGCATGTGAGAAGAGTGAAACCTATATGAATACCACACATGAGGGAAATAGACATATATGTTAGAAGATTCTTCAGTTCTTCCTGTTTATGTATATATATATGAACATACTTATATGAAGGTACCCTCTGTCAAGTCAGAGATATTGTTAACCTAAAGCAGTCATTTTAAAAAAGTAAATAAAGGCAGAAGGCATAGAATGTAAATAAAACAGAACACGTACCCATAACCCAAAGGAAGGTGGAAAGCAAAGGAACAAATAAGTGAGACAAGTGGAAAACAAACAAAATGATAATTTAAACTATATCAGTAATTTTAAGTGGAAATGGCATGAAGATTTCAATTAAAAACATGTGGATAAAACACTTATTTGTATTTATAAAAGACACATTTTGGGTTCAGCACAGTGTATAGCAAGTTAATCCTTTGCCTGTGGTGCCAGCATCCCTTGTGGGGGCCAGTTTAAATCTTGTCTGTTCCACTTCCAATCCAGCTCCCTGCTGGTGGCCTGGGAGATCAAGGGCAGATGGCCCAAGGCCTTGCCCTAAACCCACGTGGGAGGTGAGGAAGAAGGCCCTGGCTTTTGGCTTCACACTAGCTCCAGCCGTTGTAGCTATTTAGGGAGCAAACTATGAGATGGAAGATTGCTCTCTGTTTCTCTTTTTCTCTGTAACTCTGCCTTTCCAATAAAAATAAACATTTAAAAGAAAAAAAGAATGTTATACTATTACAGTTTGAATTATCTGTGATTACTTTAAAATTTACTGTGTATGGATAGAATGTTCATCTTTGAAGTGTAATGTCGGGTTTTAAAATAAGTACCCATTAAAAGAAACTATTGAAATTATATGAGTAGGGCCCAGCATGATAGCCTAGTGGCTAAAGTCTGCGCCTTGTATGTGCCGGGATCCCAAATGGGCACCAGTATGTTGCGCGACAGCCCCATTTTCCATCCAGCTCCCTGCTTGTGACCTGGGAAAGCAGTCGAGGCCCAAAACCTTGGGATCTTGCAACTTGGGAGACCTGGAAAAGGTTCCAGGCTCCTGGCATCGGATCAGCTCAGCTCCGGCCATTGTGTCCACTGGGGAGTGAATCATCAGACGTAAAAATCTTCCTCTCTGTCTCTCCTCCCCCTGTATATCTGACTTTGCAATAAAAATAAAATAAATCTTTAAAAAAAAAAAGGTGAAAACAAAAGATCAGTGACATAGAAAGCAGTATAGAAACATTAGAGAAATAGTCATGTCGTATTTATCCAGTAAAAATAATAACACTTTTAGGCACACCAATAAAAAAGAGGAAAGACACCAATCACCGTTATTGGAAAGATCCTACAGACATTAAGAGGATATTGTTGGGATGGGCATATGGTACATCAGCTAAGGTGCCATGTAGGCTGTGTTCATCCCGTACCAGAGTGCCTGAATTCAAGGCCTGGTCCATCCTGATTTCAGCTCCTTGCTTATGCACACCTAGAGAGGCAGCCGCTGATGACAGGAGACCCGGATGGGGTGTAGACTCCTGGCTTTAGCATGTCTGGTCTGGCCTAGGACTTCATGGCTTCGTGGGTTTTGGGGGAATGAATCAGCTGGTGGGAACTCTGCATCTTTGTGTCTGTCCGTGTTTGTCTCAAATAAACGTAAAAGTAAAAAAGCTATGGGCCCGGCGCGGTGGCGCAAGTGGTTAAAGGTCCTCGCCTTGCACGCCCGGGATCCCATATCGGCGTCGGTTCTAATCCCGGCAGCCCCGCTTCCCTTCCAGCTCCCTGCCTGTGGCCCGGGAAAGCAGTCGAGGACGGCCCAAAGCTTTGGGAACCTGCACCTGTGTGGGAGACCCAAGAGGCTCCTGGCTTCGGTTCGGCATAGTATCGACCGTTGCAGCTCACTTGGGGAGTGAATCATCGGACGGAAGATCTTCCTCTCTGTCTCTCCTCTCTGTATATCCGCCTTTCCAATAAAAAAAATAATAAAAATAAGTCTTTTTTAAAAAAAAGTAAAAAAGCTATCTTTAAACTAAAATTTGGATGTTTATGGTACTCAAATCTGGCAGTGCAGTGAAAAACTAGAGAGCCAGCATTGTGGTGAAACAGAGAGAGAAAAAGAAATCTTGCATTGTTTATTGGTTTTCTAAATCAATTATAGGGTTGGAGCTTGGCTGGACTTGCGGCCAAGAGACAGGAATTTCCCACGGGTGGAGTCAGGGGTAAGAGCTGGGCCAGCTTGTGCTTTCTCCCACGTGCGTTAGCGGGGATCTGCATTGGAACTGGAGCAGCCAGGACACAAGTGGAGAGTCCAGTTTGGAATCTGGCCTCAAGCCAGGGGTTAACCTGCTGTACTACAGTGCTCTCCTTGATTGTGTTTAATCTAACAGTAAATACAATAAATAAAAAATAAAAATAAATTAGAAATAGTCTCATACTTTAGAAACATACGTATTGTTCTCTGTTCATAACAGAAACTTGAGTATTTTGAGATATAGTCACTCATCACGTAGCACAAGATACAATGTGGAAAATGTGTCCTACGTGATTTCAAATGCATTTTCAGGTAGTTTTGTCATTGTGTGAGCCCCATACAGTGTACATACATAAACCTAGACATGTAGTGTACTATACATCTGGGTTGTGTGGTGTAACACATACCTCCTACCAATTAACTGCAGGCAATTATAGCACAGTGGCATTTGCATAAGTAAACTTATCAAAACATAGTGAATTGATGAGTGAATATAAAGGCAGACCCAGGACATTCAAACACTATTGTAAAATTAACAGTTCAGTGGGCCTGACGTGGTAGTCTAGTGGCTAAAGTCCTTGCCTTGCACACGCTGGGATCCCATGTCGGTGCTGGATTGTGTTCTGGCTACTCCACTTTCCTCCTGCCTGTGGCCTGGGAGGACAGTCAAGGACAGTCCAAAACATTGGGACCCTGGAGACCCAGGGGAGGCTCCTGGCTCTGGAATAGCTTAGCCCCGGCTGTTGTGACTCCTTGGCGGGTGAACCAGTAGATGGAGGGTCTTTCTTTTTATCTCTTCTCTCTATAATTCTGACTAAATAATAATAATAAGTAAAATCTTTTTAAAAAATTTGCCAGCCCAGTACAGGGAGTTTGTTGAAGAAGAGTAGGTCTCTTTGTTTAATAAATTAGTATCGGCTTAGTGTAACCTTTTCACTTTATTTTAGTTTTTAAACCTCTTTTTTTTTTTTTTTTTTTAATAGACACAGAAATGATTAGTCAGATCCTCCGTGGGGTCAGGATGTTCAGTGTCACTGTCTTCTAAGTTCACATCTTACCACACTGCAGGCTCTTCAGGGGCGATAACCTGTGTGCCGCTTTCATCTCTTACGATGGTATTCCCTTATTTCAATATTGCCCGAAGGACCTGTTTCAAGCTGTTGTATAATTTCACTGTAGTCTTACGGACTCAGCCTCATATAGTGGGCATGGTTGTTGCTGGCTGAAATAATTATGTGGTACATGTCTCTGTTTGATACGCTGTGACTTGTTAATCCTAACAGTTTTTGTCAAGTAAAACCTCTGATCTCATTTTTTTGAATGCATTCCCACAGTGAAAAACCAGAAAAATCTGTTCATTAAAAGGTAGTTGGTTTTGTTTTCAATTTCCTCGTTTCCTCCTCCCACTGAGCCCACATAGTTTCTTGAATTGCAAACCCTGAAACTCTTAGGGGATCAAATGTGCCAATATAGCTGATGTAGAATATCTACCTAAATTAGTTTTAGTAATTAAAAAAAATAAAACTTATGTTTTTCAGCTAATGGGAATGACAACAAGAAATTTAAAGGAGATAGACCTCCCTGTTTGCCTTCCCGTGTTCTCCATCTTCGCAAAATTCCATGTGATGTCACCGAAGCAGAGGTCATATCATTAGGCCTACCATTTGGCAAAGTGACTAATCTTTTGATGTTGAAAGGAAAAAGTCAGGTATGTTGTATTTAAAAATTTAACATGGAGTATCTCCAGATATTAGTGTTATTTTCTTGATTTCTTTTTTAATTTTCTAAATCTTGTTTGTTGAATGCACATAAATTGGTGGTTTTGCTTTAGGATTTACTGATTTTAAAGGCAGAGTGACCGAGAGTAACAGCCAGGCTGATACGGGCCAATGCCAGGGACCTGCACTCTGTTCAGGTCTCACGCAGGTGGGGTCCAGGTACTTGACCCTCAGCTGCTGGACCAGAAGCAGAGTAGCTGCAGATTGAACTGGCACTCCAATATCAGATGCAGACACCAGATAGCATCATAAGTGGCTGTGTCAGTGCCCATCTATAAATTAGTGTTCCAAAGAAGTTTTTTGTTTGTTTGTTTGTTTGTTTGTTTGTTTTGTATCAGGCTGGTTTGTAAAAGTAACCTCGTCTATTGTTAGTTGAGTATGCTTATAGTGAGAAAAGGATAAATTATACCAAATTTAGCAAATTAAAGACCAATTGAAATTTTGCAAAAATCTAGATGGAAATGTATAATATGGTCAAAAGTTAAATTCCAATAACTTTTAAAAGTCAAATTGAATTTGAATTGAATTCCAAAAGCAAGCAGCACCTTATTTTGTAAAATGCAGTATGTGTTAAACTGAGCATAGCCAAACCAGTGGTTTTTGTAAGATGCAAACAAGGAAACATGTTTAGTTGCTACAGATCCCTTTTTTCCTTTTTTAAAAGATTTATTTATTTACATTAGGCCGATTTACAGAGAGCAGGAGAGACAAAAATTTTCATCAGCTGGTTCACTCCCCAAATGGCTACAGTGGCCAGAGATGAGCCTTCTGTGGATCTCCTGTGCAGGTGCAGACTCCCAAACTTGGGTCATCTTCCACTCCTTTCCCATGCCAGAAGCACTTGAAGTTCTTCTGGGCCCCTAATTTCTGCAGCCAAATCCTTGTTTCAGCAAAGTTTACCAGAAGCCAAAATGTCAGTCACAGCAAGGTGCTTAGGAGGTCCTTTATTCTCTCAGGGTAGGAACGGGAGAACAGGAAGGGAAACGTCCCTTGCCATGGGTGGCAGGATGGGGGGCTGCCAGGGAAGGGGAAGGGGGCAAAATGGAAGGGGATGAGGGGTTGGAAGCCGGAAAGGGGGAGAAAGGAAGAGGGGCACATGTGGAGGCTCGATTACAAGACCTAGGTTAGATTGAAAGATGTGGGTGGCATGGAGAATTGGAAGGGGGCTGTGGGTGGGTCCCAGGGGGTTGGCACCTGAGATTATCATAGGTGATTGGTAGGTGAGCAAGGATTAGGGGAGGGGCTACAAGAGAATGGTGGGTGAGGTTCTCAGGTAGATGCCTAGAGGTTACATTTCGTTGGTGGATAACCTGCGCGAATTTTGCAAGCAGTGAAAAGGGAAAGCAGGAAGTGGTGCCAGGTCCAGAATGGGATGTTCAAAACATTCCTTGCACCAGTCAGCACCCATATGGGAAGATGGCACTTGCAGGCAGAGGATTAGCCACTGAGCCATTGCATGGCCCAGATCACTTCTCTTTAAGGGTTAAAGCAGAGGGGACTGAGTCCAGTGCAAAGCCTAATGGCTATCACCTTGCTTGCCCTGGAATCCAATATGGGTGCTGCTCCACTTACCTTCTAGCTCTCTACTTGTGGCCTGGAAACGCAGTAGATGGTAGAACAAAGCTTTGGGATCCTGCACCCGCTTGGGAGACCCGGGGTGGTGGGGAGCTCTTGGCTCCTGGCTTTGCATTGGCCCAGTTCCAGCCGTTGCAGTTACTTGGGGGAGTGACCCAAGTATGGATGGAAGATACTTCTTTCTGTAAATCTGCCTTTCCAAAGAAAAGATTAAAAGGAAAATTTTAAAGCAGAGGGGACTTAATTTTCATAAAAGTTTAATTTCCCGATTGAGAGCTGTGACTGGCTTCATGGAAAAAACGATCTCTTTGAGGATTTGCTTTCCCTGCTTAAATTCCATCTTGGTTTGCTCTGGTTCAGTGGGGCCTAGTCCAGGACTGTAGGTGTGTCTTTCATTTGCAAGGTAAGCATGCAATACTTATAAGGCAAAAGCAAACTTTTTTGTCTTCTACTCCCACACAAAATAAGCACAGAAGGCTCCTCTGACTTCACATAGGTGGTGGAGGGACTTCTCCACAGCAACAGGCAACTTTGTAGGAAGCACCCCTGAGACGTTCTGTAAGTCAGTTCAGTTCTGACACTGCCTGCCTGTTGATAAATTGGAGGTCCAGTTCTCAAGGCTGGTCCCTGACCCCCTCTTTAGATGCTGGTCATCCCTCTAACTGGCTATAAATGCTTCTCACAACTCCCTCCTTGGATTGAATTAATCCACTAGGGTAGCTTGACAAAATTCAGGGCCACCAGACTTAAGTTCACTAGTTTATTTTGCAGTGTATTACAAAGCAGCCAGATGAGATGTGTGAGCAGAGAACACAGCTTCCTCACCCTCTCCACCCTTTGTGAGTCTCTGTATGTTCAGTTATCTGCAGTCTCTTCAGATCTTGACATTCTGGGTCCTTATGGAGGCTGGATTACATGGATTTGATTAATTTAATCCTTCACTGCTGATTTAACATTTAGCCAGTTTCCTATCCCCAGGGGTTAGGGGTGGAACTGAAGGTCCCAGCTCTCTAATTAGGCCTTAATCTTTCTGGTCATCAGACCACATCCTGAAGATTGCTGGGGACTTTCCACCTTCAGTCAGCCTCATTAGCATACAGAAAGGCTATCTTTTGTGGAATCCCAAGGATTTGGGGAGTATGGAAGGAATCCTAATAAAACTAAATATGTAATTCACAATAGCAAGCTTATCATGTTGATTTGAGTCATCACATGCTTTCTGGGTCCAACTCGGTGTAGTTCTGCAGTTCATTGTAGTACTCTATTTCTGAGGATTTAGTTGTCCTGAAAGTCCTCTTAAAGCTATACATTTCTGTAAAGAAAAGGACAGCAAATCTGAGCCATAAAGATGATGTTGTCTGTTGAGATACATCCTTTGGATCTTTCTGTTTTACATAAGTAAGTTTAAGAAACACATAGCTGGGCCTGGCACAGTAGCCTAGTGGCTAAAGTCCTCCCCTTGCATGTACTGGGATCCCATGGCGCCAGTCCATGTCCTGGCAACCCTGCTTCCCATCCCACTCCCTGCTTGTGGCCTAGGAAAGCAGTCGAGGATGGCCCAAAGCCTTGGGACCCTGCACCTGTGTGGGAGACCTAGGGGAAGCCCCTGGCTCCTGGCTTCGGATTGGCTCAGCTCTGGCCATTGTGGCCATGTGGGGAGTGAATCAGTGGGTGAAAGAGCTTTCTTTCTGTCTCCTGTAATATCTGACTTTCTAATGGTTTTTAAATTAAAAATTTTTTTTAATCTTAATTAAAAAAAGAAACACATAGCTGCATTTATAATTAACTGAAAAGTGTGAAAGAGACTGAATGACAACCTAATTCAGTGTACCATCTTTTGCAAACTATTTTATTAGTTCATCCATCTAATTCCGGTAAGTTTACTTAAGATCGAGAAAAGTTGAACGTGGTTTAACACTAGGCCCTTGTGCTTGTATATTTACTTTACATTTGTTGAAGATAGTTCAGGCTTACCACTTGGAAGCACATTTTCTGCTGTTGAGAATGACAAGGCTTGTGTAATCTGGAAAGACTCAACACAGCCAGATCTAATGGTTAAGTGGCTTATGAGAAACATAGTAGCTAACTTCCCAGTTTTCCTTGTGTTGTTGATTCTGAGTAAGCTAACTTAATCTGTTAGATTAATTGCTTGTCTTTTGATGAAAAATCCTATTTAGAAGCTATTTCTTTAGAAAAACAATTCAGTGAGAAATTTTAGTGTGAGTCACAAAAACTGCTGGTGGGGCCCAGCACGCCTGGGGAGTGAATCATTGGACGGAAGACCTTCCTCTCTATCTTCTCTGTATATCTGACTTTGTAATAAAAATAAATAAATCTTAAAAAAAAAAAACTGCTTGTGGATAGTGACCCTTCTTGGAGCGTTTGGAAGCGAAGTGTTATCCATGGAGCAATGATCATGTTTTCCAATCTTCATCTGGGTAGTGACTTTGGGTTTTAATCTGCATCCCACGTTTTGAAATACGAACTCTTTGACCAGATGCTTTAGAAAAACGTAAATAATTCATTTTTCGTATCCCATATGGAAAAATGTATTTTTACATTTAAGCTTAGTTGTTACATATTTTCTGTGAAAAGTTCCTATAACTTGAATCATGTATTCCAAAAAATTATAGTTTTTCCTTTATGTGACTTATATTTAAATTGAGTTAGCTGTTAATATTCATCAAGGAATTAGCAGAAATATATTTTCTGCCCAATGTAGTAAGTATTATTAACATTTAAGTTTGTATGTTGAAAAATAATTAAAGCCAGATAGAAAATACTGCTGTTTTGGCCTCAGTACAGTAGCCTAGCGGCTAAAGTTCCCACCTTGCACATGCTGGAATCCCATATGGGTGCTGGTTCATGTCTCGACAGCCCCGCTTCCCATCCAGCTCCCTCCTTGAGGCCCGGGAAAGCAGTGGAAGAGAGCCCCCAAGCCTTGGGACCCTGCACCCACATGGGAGACCTGGAGGAGGCTCTGGGCTCCTGGCTTTGGATCGCCTCCGCTCTGGCCATTGTGCTCACTTGGGGAGTGAATCAGCAGATGGAAGATCTTCCTTTCTTTTTTTTCCTCCTCTATGTATGTCTGACTTTCAAATAAAAATCTTAAAAAAAATTTTTATTTCATGTGGTTCTTTGGTCACGTTTTGTAACTGGTCTTTAAAAAAGTGTATTATGATACAATTGTATAGTTAGTGTGTATCATGGGTATTTTATACCTTTTAGGTAGTGTCAGTGTGTTGAAGTCCATTTTATCCCTTCAGGGTAGTGGAATTTTATGTTTATTGTGGATTGATTTGTGATATTTGTTCCTCTGATGTATGTCCAGTAGCACTGCTCACAGACTAGTTAGTTGAACAGTTACATGTTTCACATACTTATGCAGCATACTTTATATGTAATGTGTATCCAGTTAGTATTCCTTTACCAAACTTCATATTGCAGCATTTGACAACTAAGGAATTTGATGTATATATATTGCCATTTCTTGTGTTCAGTAGATTTTGTTATTAATAAAAATATTTTCTATGTGTAATTTGAAGAATTCAATCCTATATACTTGATAATGAAATGCTCTTTTGAAGTGAGAAATTGTTTGGATCGTGTAACTAGAACTTTGTGCTGATTAAGGAAAACCTTAACAGTAAGTGGGTCTAGGCCCTAAGGAACACTAGTCAGTGCATAGAACTGTCCTTTGGTGGGGAGTTGGGGATTGGAAGGTGCTAGTAGGGTGATGGGTAGGATGGTGAGAAAGAGATGAAAACTTATTCAAGGAAGGCTTGAGAAGATAATTCTCGTCTTGACAGTTCTTTAAACAATTAAAAAATCTTCACATTCTTAGTGTGAAAAATTCAGAAGTATAGAATTATTTAAAACAAAACACAATATTCTATAAATCTATCCCTTTTACAAGCAATAGTTTAATGTGATGTTATACACATAAACATACATTTGAATATTGTTTATATTGCCTTTCCATGTGCACTTGAACATGTAAGTCTGTAAAATAGAGAAACATTCTGCATATTTATATGTATTTTTTGTTCAAAAGTATAGGAAGATGTTAATTGGAAGCATACCAGTATTTTAGAAGTTGACTGTAGTAAAGAGTTTGAAATTGTAGAATTTCCAGCCAGCTTTATCATTTTATATAGCTATTGATTTTCCATCTATTTCTATTTCTTCTAAAACCTAGAAATAGTTAAAAGGCAAAACTAAAAGCTGTTACTATAATTTTAAATGAATGCTTCCAGGGGATGGCTTGTAATAGTTCTCTCTTACGAAATCCCAGTTAGACTACCCAACAAGAACTCCTGTTAGAACTACAAAAAAGCTTAAAGATCGGTTTTGGCAGCACTGCATGGTGTAGATGAGACTCAAAGGTGAAAATGATCAAATATCACAGCTGAGTCAAAGTTCTAATTAGACTCATCGTTCTCAGTCCTGGCCGAAGCATGCTGAGTTCTAGTTGACAAGCCACGATATAATAAAACTTAGAGGGAAAAGTCAATGCTGTCTTTAATTTTATTTATAAATGGTTTTTATGCATAAGTAAGAGAATAACTCATTAAGCTTCATCTCTGTTTAAGAATTTGGAGGTTAGAGCAGTGTTTGTCAAGCATAATTTTGCTTTTTTGTTTTCTTATAAAAGCTTTCCAGACCCCTTCATCCCCAGTAATTATTCCATGAAATTTTATCATCTCTGTATTTGTTTAAAGATTTCTTTCTTTCTTTGGAAGGTAGAGTTAGAGAAATAAGAAGAGAGAGAGATGTTCCATCTGCTGGTTCACTCCACAATTGGCTGGATGGCCAGGGGCAGACCAGGAGTTTCATCCTAGTGTCCATATGAGTGCAGAGGCCTGTATGCTTGAGCCATGCTCCGCTGACTCCCAGGCGCATAGCAGGGAGGGCAGTTGGAAGTGGTGCAGCTGAGACAGTATTTGTAGCCTTTTGGTTTCAAGATTTTGTGAGATTTCAAATGTCAGGGTTTGAAAGGATCAAGCTTTAATGCTGGTACATGCATTCAAATTTATTTTTAGAAGCATCAAAACTTAGAGGAGAACCCAAAAAATCCTATAAAATCATCTACTCAACTGGTAGTTTCCCAATCCCAAATTATTTGTGGAGTCCCACTTTTCAAATGTGTTAACACTTAATGATGTACTTTAATGCATAAAAAAAAATTTTTTTTAACCATTCCCTTAGAGCAATGTTATCGTTGTCAAGAATACATGAGAGTTGGTTGATTTGTTGGTTTTTAAGATTTGTATTTTTATTTCTAGAGTTACATGGAGAGATGGCAGAGACAGAGAAATAGCTTTCTTCTGCTTGTTCATCCCCCCTAAATAACTACAGTATCCAGAGCTGAGCTGGTTTGAAGCCAGCAGCTTCTTCTGGGTCACCCCTGTGGATGCTGGGGCCCAAGCAGCGGGGCCATCTTCTGCTGCTCTCCCAGGTTCATTAGCAGGGAGCTGGCTAGGAAGCGGAGCAGTTAGGACCCAACAGGTGCGCATGTGAAATCCAGGTGCTATAGGCAACAACTTTACTTGCTGTGCCAAGGTGCATGTCCCAGAGTTTTGAGATTTTAGAGCATGCTAGAATGAGGAAGTAGTTCCTAACTGTGTTTGAAGAAAGGATGAGCTGTCACTTTACTTTTTTGTGTTTATTGCAGGCCTTCCTAGAAATGGCTTCTGAGGAAGCTGCTGTTACCATGGTGAATTATTACACTCCTGTAACACCTCACCTTCGAAGCCAGCCTGTTTATATTCAGTTTTCCAATCACAGAGAACTCAAGACAGACAATCTACCTAATCAGGCTGTAAGTATTAAAGTGAGGGCATTTTAAAATACAAATGACTGATGCTTTTCTTCTTTGAAACTTTATACAATGAAAAAGAAGAAAAAAGGAAAATTTATTGTAGAATGCCTATTAAAATCTCAAATCTGAAATTAATTTTGCAAGTCATTTACTTCATTTCCTTTTTACAAAGTATATGGAAAAGTCAGAAGTTAAGTGATGCTTTTGTGATGTTAATCAAGTTTTTGATAACTTTAAAATTGTTCATTAAATGTTGTGTTTTACACATTTCCTTGTTTATTTCAAGGCTGAAGTGTCAGGAAAAGACAGAGGTACAAGATCTTTATCCACTGGTTGAGTCCACAAATGGCCGTAACAGCCAGGTCCTGGTTTCCCACATTGCCAGGGCCAAGCACTTGGCTCATCTGCTGCCTTCTTTGGTATATTAACAAGAAGCTGAGTTGGCAGCTGTGCAACCAATACCTGAATTGACACTTTAGTAGGGGGTGCCAGTATCAACAAACTATGGTTTATCCTATTACACCACAATACTAGTATCACATGGCATAATTCTTGATTCCATAAAATGAATGTAGATTGTAGCCTATCTGTATTTCTTACTTTGTCTTCCTTTTTTTGTTTTTATATAGTTCATATTGAATCTTTTGTGTATTTTTGTGCTAAGTAATGAAAATAGTAATTTGAAGTTATTTAAGGCAAGTACATTTTTTAAAAATTTATTTATTTGAAATGCAGTAGGACTGAGAGTGGTCTGCCATTGCTAGTTTACTTTCCAAATGGCTGCAGCCACTGGGTCTGAGCCAAACCAAAGCCAGGAAGCTTGAAGCTCTGTCTACACTTCCCACATGGATACACTGGGCCATCATCTGCTACCTTCTCAGACGCATTAGCAAGGAGCTGGATCCAAATTGGAGCAACCACGACTCTTAACAGGCACCTATTTGGGATGCTAGTGGCCATTTAGCGCACACGTGTGTGCACACACACATTTGGATTTCAGAGAGATCTTCTGTTTGCTAGTTCACTCTCCAAATGGCCACAGATCCCTAGCCAACAGAGCTGGGCTGGTCCAAAGCTGGGAATCAGCAGCTTCTTCTGGCTCTCCCATGCCTGGGGCCATCCTCCACTGTTTTCCCAGTCCATTAACAGGGAGCTGGATGGGAAGAGGAGCAGCTCGGACTTGGAACTGTGAGTTATGGTAATACATACCATTGCTTATGTTTCCAGTGCCATGACACGTAAAAAGGTTGCTGGAGTTAAGACTATAGCTGAAATACTCTTACTGTAAAATATAGGGGACAATGGGGAATGAAGAAGGGAGATGGAAGAAGAGGGAGAAGACTTACACGTAAAACATTGTAAAATGGAAAATAAGAATAAGTTAAAAAGTTATCATAACAGCAAGCTTGGCCCGTGTGTTCTTGATCTAGGGAAAAAGTTTTACAGGTCTTTGATTCTGTGTCTAGTGCTCTTAACTGTGGGTACTAACAACTGTAGAATGATTAGGATAGTACTGCCGTGGCTTCTCAGAACTTTCTGCTGTGAAATTGCTTGTGGAAAGAGGAAGGGAAGAATAGCACCAGTAACAGCAGTGAAGGTGCCTCACAGCAGCAAACCGTTATATGCAGTGTTTTTAATAAAAATGATTGATGAAGGAAAGAGGTCAGTGAGATAGATTTACCTTTGCTTATATGTGCTTAGTCTTGTAATTTATTCATTTTAATCTAAGTAGAATCAGAACAGTTATTACACTTAAAGTATTATTATAACAATGTTTTCCCTGTGATGTTCAGTGTCGTAGCCATTAGTTAGCCATATGTGGCTATGAATCAGTTAAAATAGGTAAAATTTCAGCTCTCAGTTGTAATAGCTGCGTTTCAAGTTTGTTGCATCTGAAAATATGGACCCTGAAGATACAGAGTTTCATTGTAATTATTTAAGGGAAAGAATATTGGTTTGTGTACTTTAATATATTGTAAATATCAAATGTATTTGATGCATTTTGATTATTTTAATTCTCAGATTGTCCCACATTTGGCCAATGGGAGCTTCTTCAGACTGACTTCTATGACCTTTGGACTTGGCCCCGTCAGTCTTTGAACAATTCCTTGCATACTGGTGAAATAAAACAAAAACCAAAGAGACAGAAAATTCCACAGAAGCACAGATGTTTCACACTCATCTTGTGCTTTTTATTCCCCGCCTTTGGAGTCAGCTCTTTTTAGAGCCCCCTGTTTCCTTGTAGTGGAGGATTTTGAAACTTGTACTCTGATTCTAATACCCCATGCCAAGCTGACCCTGTGTTGAATGGCATGCTTAGCCTGCCCATGGGCCTCCTCTTCACTCTATTCATGCTGATTGCACCGTTACTCAACCTGCTCTGTGTGCATCCCCTCTCAGCTTTGGTTGGGTCTGACAGTTAAGGCCTGGCCAATCTTCCTCTGCATGTACTTTTTTTAAGGGGAGAGGGATAAATGTTTATTAATATTTATTATTATTTATTTATTAGCAAGCCAGAATGACACAGAGAAAGTGGGGCAAGAGGGGATAATAAAAAGCAAGAACTCTTTCTGCTGATTCAGTCTCCAGATACCTTCAGCAGTCAGTGCTGGGCCAGGCTGAAGCCAGGAGCCTGCAAGTCCTTCTGGGCTTCTCATGGTGGCAGGACCCCAAGCCCTTAGGGATGATGTCCACTGCCTTCTGGCAGATTAGTACGAAGCACAGCTGAATGGCCTTCAACTTGTGCTTCTCGGATCCTGAGGTCAACACTAGACCACCTTTCCACGCATAGATACCTTTCTTAACCTTGTTTGGGCTCAGAGTCCCCTTGCCAGATGTCGTGCCGCATTGCTGCTCTCCTCGCTTTGCCCGGACTCTGATGCTGCCAGCCAGGATCCCTTCCTTTGTACACCGTGAGGCAGCGTAGCTGCTGTCCTCCTTGGTTAAACTAGCTAGAGGCGTTAGAGCCGAGTTAGTCAAGAAAGAAAAGGGGAGAAGAGAACAAAAAAGAAGTGACTTTAGGTAGTCTTTAGTGTTGCTTTCACATTTGTCTATTTTCCCTATTTTATTAACAATTAAGGGGAGAAATTACCTGCAAAATCTGTTTCTTCCTCAGTGTGCATTCTCAGAATTTTCCTCAAATTAACTAGTTCTGTTCAGTTCAGCATCATTGTGATAAGTGAGGAGTTCTTGGTTTTGCACTGATAATGAATTTAGGATCTGTGTGTCCAGACAGAAGGTGTGTATATGTTTATTTCTGTTCCTTAATACTGTTTTGTATCTACATAGTTTTAAATTTTTTGTCATGCTTGTGTATAATGAGAAGTTCTGCCTTTGGTTTGTTTCCTAGCGAGCCCAAGCCGCTCTGCAGGCTGTCAGCGCTGTGCAGTCAGGAGGCCTGGGCCTTCCCGGAGCGCCTTCCAACGAGAGCACCATCCTGCCTGGGCAGAGCCCTGTGCTCCGAATAATTATTGAAAACCTCTTTTACCCTGTTACTCTTGAAGTTCTTCATCAGGTAAGAAGGCTTCCTCTTACGAAAGCTTAACCAAATATATCTGAAACTTGGTGTTTTATATTTAGGGCTTTTAAGTTGTTGCTTGGGGGCTGATATATTGATTGATATATTTTTGATATGTTGATTGAAATAATGTCTTTTCTACACCAAAAATAGTGTCAATTAGAGCTTTTTGCAAGGCTTTTTTCCCCCCCTTAGTACTTGATTTAAAAATATATGTAGGAAGTTATGTGCATTAAAATACTGTGCCCCATTATTATTTATTTATCTTTAAGATATGTTTATTTTTATTGGAAAAGAGGAAGAGAGACAGAGGATTGTCTTACATAAGCTGATTCACTCCCTGAGTGGTTGCAGTGACCCAAGTTGAGCTGATCCGAAGCCAGAAGCCGGGAGCTCTTCTGGGATTCCCACGCGGGTGCAGGGTCTCAAGGCTTTGGGCCGTCCTCGACTGCTTTCCCAGGCCACAGGCAGGGAGCTCGTTAGGAAACGGGACTGCCGGGATTAGAACCAGCATCCATGTGGGATTCCAACATGCAAGACAAGGACTTTAGCTGCTAGGCTACCACACTGGGCTCAGTTTATTTGTTTTGCTTACTCAAAAGACAGGGTTATACAAAGAGGGAGAAACTATGTTTTTCTAAGATGTGACCTAATATAAACTTTTTTCTAGATATTTTCTAAATTTGGCACTGTCTTGAAGATTATCACCTTTACAAAGAATAATCAGTTTCAAGCCTTGCTTCAGTATGCCGACCCGGTGAATGCACATTATGCCAAAATGGTAATGATGATCTTTCTTCACGTTTCTGTTGCTACTTCTGTGATTTCTTACAGCTGAAAGAATCTTGTGTATTTCTTGTTCTTGTTCCTCATGTGTTTGCTAAAGATTGCAAAGTACATGAGTGCTTGACATTTAAACCAAGCTGTAAAGTTGGCTGTATCCAATTGAGGTATCCTATATATCCTGTTGAGGTATACCCATTCCCCAAAATGTTATGGGTCGGTGTCTGAATCGTTTCTAGTTCATATTCACAGATAAGCTTGGGTAGCAATATCACCTATCTATGCATTGTACACTCTACTTGTATATTTTGTCTCGTACCATTATAATGATGACATTCTTTTCATTGTTAAGAATTAGTGTGTTATATATTTTGCTGTTACATATTTTGGTTCTAACATATTTATAAAATTTTTTTTACAATTAATTTTTATTTGAAAGGCAGATCTTGGCATCTGCTGGTTCATTCCCCAAATGGCCATAGCCGCCAGAGCTGAGCTGAGCTGATCTGAATCCTGGAGCCTGGAGCTTCTTCCAGGTCTCCCACATGGGTTCAGTAGGCCAAGCACCTGTCCCATCCTCTGCTGCTTTCCTAGGCTGTAAGCAGGGAGCTGGGCTGTAGGGGAGCAGCCAGAACTTGAAACAATTGCGCATGTTGGATGCCAACGCTGCAGGCTGATGCCTAGCCTGCTGTGCCACAGTACTGACCCCAGTTTTTATAAATGTTTTATAAATTTGGTCATTTAGGGAATGTAAGGGGCCACATATGACTGGTAATCAAAGAAAGGTGTATTGATTTTTAGTCACAACTGATTTCAAATTTCTCCTTGGCTTATTAGTGTAACAGAATAGATTTAAAAGAGGAGTAAAATGTCAATCTATTTTTATGCTTCTGAAAACTGCCATTAGAAAGATTTTATTTTATGCTAATCTCTATGAACTATACCAGAATGAGTTAAGATGAAATGTGAGACACAGATATCTTTGTTTACTATGGGTAAAAAGGCATAATATTTCTGTAATACAAGTAGGCAGTAGTTTTCTAAGCCTGTACGTATTGTTTGACTTCAACACAAAAGTATGATTTTTGTTACTTACTGATAGAAAGTAAGATTTTCTTCTTCTCCCTTAGACTTACACAAGTAGTAACAAGTATATAACTAAATGCAAGTCTTTGGCTTTTAGTTCAGTACTCACTGCTTTACACCCACTCTTTGTTAAAAGTAGGGGCTACTTAATTTATTGTTGTTGTTGATTTGCCAAAACATAAGCCCTTTCTCATATGCTTTAGGCTCTGGATGGTCAGAATATCTATAATGCATGCTGCACTCTGCGTATTGACTTCTCTAAGCTCACCAGCCTTAATGTGAAATACAATAATGACAAGAGCAGAGACTTCACTCGCTTAGACCTTCCCACGGGCGATGGCCAGCCATCACTTGAGCCCCCCATGGCTGCTGCTTTTGGTGAGTAGTTTATTTTGGGACCACAAAACAAGTTTTCTAAAGTTCCAGCTTTCATGTATTAATTCATGTGTATCAGTTAACCTTGTTGCTTCCTGGATTTCTAAAGCAAAAAAAATCACAGACCCCAACTGTGCTCATTAATCTGCTTATTAGCTGGCAGAGCAAATAGGTACCCAAAATTGAGTTACAGATTTGTTTTCTAAACCAGCCAACCCCTTGTTTCAAATTAATATTCTTTTATAATAATATTGATTTACGTATATTGGTTTATAGTCAACACAATTTTACATAGAATGCTATTGAGGAACATATTTTTTCCCCTTTAAGTGTTAGTATTTTAAATCAAGAACCTAGATTAATAAATTCTTTTCTCAAAGAAAAGAAGTTGCTTTTTTGTTTTGTTTTGTTTGTTTTTATTGTTTCTTAAGATTTATTTGAAAGGAAGAGCTAGAGAGAGAAAGAAAATCTTCCACCCACTGGTTGGTTCACTCCTCCAGTGTCTGCAGTGACTTAGGCTGGAGCCGGGCTGGGCCAGAGCCACGAGTTGAGCTTCTTGTGAGTTTCCCATGTAAGTGTGGAGGCCCAAGCACTTGAGTCATCCTCCTGCTGCTTTCCTAGGCCTTTAACAGGGAACTGAATTAAAAGTGGAGCAGCTGGGACTTGAACAGGCACCCATAATGGGATGCCAGGGTCTCAGGCAGGAGCCCAACCTGTTTTACCACAACACCAGCCCCAACAGAATTTATTTTATGCTGTTTGCAGTTTGGATGGTAGAACTCTCATCTAAGAATGCCAAAGGTTAGATTTTGCGTTAATAAGGAGAATTACAGCCTTCTAAAGTGTCTTTGCACATATACCTTCTTAGAGATCTTTTATTGCAAGTAGACTATTTTTTTTTTAAGATTTATTTATTTTTATTGGAAAGGCAGAACAGATATATGGAGAGAAGAGGCAGAAAAACATCTTCCATCTGCTGGTTTATTCCCCAAATGGCCACAACAGCTGGAGCTGAGCCGATCCAAAGCCAGAAGCCAGGAGCCTCTTCCAGGTCTTCACACAGGTGCAGGGTCCCAATGCTTTGGGGCCATTCTCTGCTGCCTTCCCAGGCCACAAGCAGGGAGCTGGATGGGAAGTAAAGCAACCAGGACACGATCCTGGGATCCTGGCATTTGCTAGGTGAGCTTCTGGCCATTGAGCCATCATGCCGGGCCCACAAATAAACTTTTACTAAAGGAAAATAGAGTGGATGGCTCAGTTTAAATGAATTAATGCTTGTTATATGCTACTTTTTGGAATTGTAGCTCTCAAAATTATAGTTTCTTATTTAGAATAAAGTATTATTACTGTATATGAATGATTTTCTTTTATTTTCCAAATAATACCTCATTGAGACTTAAGTAGCATTTAATCCATTTATTTTTTTAAATAGACAAGGATTTCTGTAATGATTTAAGACTGCCAAATGATTGTCTGAATTTTTGTATGGTTTTGTACCTATTTTAAACTAAAAGCATTTTGGGACCTGATGCAGTGGCTCAATCGCTAAATCCTCACCTTGCAAATACCAAGATCCCATATGGGTGGCGGTTCAGCGAGTGAATCAGTGAGCAGAAAATCTTTCTGTTTTTCCTTCTCTCTGTAAATCTGTCCCTTTTATGTGTATTTTTTTCAGCTTATATTATTATTATTTATTAACTCTGTGTATACCAGATATGAATTTTTTAAAAAGATTTATTTTTATTTTTATTGGAAAGTCAGATATAGAGAGAACAGAAGAGACAGAGAGGAAGATCTTCCGTCCAATGGTTCACTCCCCAAATGACCACAATGGCTGGTGCTGAGCCAATCCAAAGCCAGGAGCCAAGAGCTCCTCCGGGTCTCCCACGCGGGTGCAGTGTCTCAAGGCTTTGGGCCGTCCTTGATTGCTTTCCCAGGCCCTGGGCAGGGAGCTGGATGGGAAGTAGGGCCGCCGGGGTTAGAACCGGCGCCCATATTGGATCCTGGCGTGCAAGGTGAGAACTTTAACCACTATGCTATCGTGCCAGACCCCAGATATGAATTCTTTGTTACTTATTTGTATCATATTTGTGCTTTTTTAAATCTGCAAAAATTGTTAATGTGAGATCTTAAACATACCCTACTTATATTCTAAACCTTAAGTTGCCATAAAAACAGTAAGAACGCTCATATTTTCCATTTGAATTCTCTGGTTTTAGCAACATTTCACGTTTAGTGTCTTGTCTCTGATTATAGATGTATATGTAGGTATAAGCATATAGATAGTACACATATCTCTGTTTGTGTGTGGATGTGTATTTTTCTGCATCCTCAGACCAGTGGAGAATAGTTGCAGATGTTCCCTTTTGTCTCTAAATACTCAACTGTGTTATTAACTAGTAATGAGAACATTTTTACTAAATATAGCTCAATTATTGAAGTTAGGAAATTAGAACTCACGTAATAATGTTATCTAATACATAACTACTGTCAATTATGTTTCTTTAAGAGTGCTTTAATTTGCAACAGAATATTTTATATGCCCCCTCCCTGTATAGATGTCTGATTTTTCCCTACTGAGTATATACAGCGGGTAGAGGATCTCTCTGCCTCTCCGTCTGCTAGTTTACTCCCCAAATGGCCCCAGAGCCACAACTGGGTGAGACAGAATCCAAGAGCCAGCAACTTTATTTGGGTGTCCCAGATGCATACAGGAGCTCAAGGACATAAGCCATCTCCTGCTACTTTTCCAAGTGCAGTACAGGCAGCTGGATCAGAATTGGGGTCTGAGGTTCCTGTCTGCCCATATGGGATGTGGGTGCTATAGCCTGCTGTTTAACCCACTGTGCCACGGGCTGGCGCTGAAATGTCTGGAGAGACCATTGTCCAGGGGGACAAGGACTATGAACAACAAGGACTATGAACAATCAAATCATTAGATGTCCATTTCATTCTTATAATTTTTTACTTTTGTTGTTGTTGCTGTTTTTAGTATTTATTTGCAAGGCAGAGTAACAGAGAGATTTTCCATGTATGCTTTCCAGATTGTTCAGGTTTGCTCTCCTAATGTTAACAGTAGCCAGGGATAGGCTGGGCCAAAGGTGGAAGCCAGGATTTCTCTCTGGTTCTCCCACCTTCAAGACAGGAACCCAGATTTGAGCCATTATTCGCTGCCTGTGAGACACATTGGTAGGAAGCTAGGTCAGAAAGACAGGGTCCCTGGAACCCAAACCTGCACTTTGGATATGGGATGTGAGAGTTCCAAGCAACAGCCTTACCAGCTGTGTCTTATCATTTTTATTGGCTTACTTTTAATAAATGCCTTGACATTTAATTGTTCTCTAGTTTGCACCTTAACCTCGTTTCTTTAGAATTTTTGTTAACAGATGTTGTTAATCATACATGACTTGAAAACAATAATTGAGAAGCTGCCTTTGCTAATTATTTGTTAATCCTTTTATTTATTTGTTGGAAGTTCTGTGATAGTCTTTTCAAAATCTTCCTTTTGGGCCCAGCATGGTAGCATAGTGGCTAAGGTTCTTGCTTTGCATGCACTGGGCATTATAGGGGTGCCTATTCTAGTCCCAGTTGCTCCACTTCCCATCCAGCTCCCTGCTTGTGACCTGGCAAAGCAGTAAAGGTCCAAAGCCCGTGGACCCGCACCCGCTTGGGAGACCTGCCACTTGGAGTGAACCAGGTGACAAAGGATCTCTGTATCTCTTTCTGTGAATCTGACTTTCAAATAAAGGTAACTAAATATTAGAAAAGAAAAACAAGACAGTCCTTACTTGCATTCTGAATAATATATAGGACATGCCAAAAAGCCATTAAAAAAATTCTTTTTTCTCTAAAACCTTCTACTGTGTTCTGTTCCATCTGTTAGCCACTTTGCTAAGTTTAACAGTGTCTTCCTTCCTCCATCACAGTTACCGCAGTTAACCTGCTTCCCTTACATGCCTTGTCTGAAGCTGTGCAAGTGCAGCTCTCCTCCGCATATCTTTTTCAATTAGGGCCCAAACTGAAGGTGTCACTCCTTGTGGCAGAGCTTAAAGGATGGAAGAGCTGCTTAAAACATGTGGCCTGTGTCTTTCCTATCTATTGGCAAAACATAGTGCATCATCAAGGCCAATGTGAATTGCATCAAAATATGTTTCTCCAACAGAAAGCTCCAGAGTCAAAGGATTGACCAGAAATTATGTTTCTCTTGAAACTTTTCTTTTTGCCTTAAATTTCTTGTCATGAAAAGAATCACAGTACTAGCTGGTTCTCTACCTGTGGTTTCTTAAAACTTCTCTTTAATGAAGATAATGAAATTATATGAGCTTTTAAAAATGTTAAAAACCAGGGCCTGGTGCAGTAGTCTAGTGCCTAAAGTCCTCGCCTTGCATGTGACAGGATCCCATATGGATGCTGGTTCATATCTCGGCTGCCCCACTTCCCTTCCAGCTTGCTGCTTGTGGCCTGGGAAAGCAGTTGAGGACGGCCCAAAGTGGGGAGACCTGGAAAGAGGCTCCTGGCTCCTGGCTCCTGGCTCCTGGCTTTGGATTGGCTCAGCGCCAAGCATTACGGCCACTTGGGGGGTGGATCAGCAGACAGAAGATCTTCCTCTGTCTCTGCTCTTCTCTGTATTTCTGCCTTTCCAATAAATAAGTAAATAATATTTTTTCTTCAATTTTTAAGTCTTCAAAACTTGAAACTTCCATTGTCAGATATTCACTAGCACTTGCATATATGAACACTTCAAAGGCATTTTTGCAGATATCAGTTCAAATGTCAGCATACATTGGGACATCAGTGTTAAATACTTAAACAATGTAGCAATATCTTAAAAGTTATAGCCAATTACATATAAAACTTACAAGATTCATTTCTCAAATTTTCTGACTTTCCCATGTCTTTCTGAAGATGCTTAAACCTTGGAGTGTTTTGTCCCAGCTTTCCCTTTCCATTCTGTGATAGCCATACTCCTGTAGGAGAGAACATTCTACAAGCAACGCTCTTCCTTAACAGCTCTCCTTTTATAACCTTCTCACCAAGAACACATTCTCAGGCTTCTAACCACTTTCCATGTGCTAATTTTCTGGATTTACATTTTGAAACAATCATGTAAGACTCCAAATTAATAATCTTTTTTAAAAAAGTATTAAGACCTCCTTTTGACTATAAAGTCTCATTCCTTAGTCTAATATTCTTTATTTTCCTGATTTCTTTCTGTGGGCTCTGTTGAAGCTCCCATGCAGCCCCTGTTGAAACTATTCCTGTAGTCCTGAGGGTTATGATTTGCTGGATTTTCCCTGCTATTAGAGTTATTCTCATTCCTTTCCGTATACAATCTTCCTCCTCCTTGTCCTACCACTGAAGTGTGCTGAGTTCCTGGCTCTGTCTTTAGGTCTCTTAAGTTCTTGTCCCTGGGCCCTTTTAGAGGAGCTCTTGTGTGACTTTCTATAGATAATTTGCAAATCTGTATGTTTCCTTACAGTCATTCTCAGTCCTCACACCTCCTCTATATTTCTACTTGCAGATATTTGTATTTGAGTATCTTACCATCACCTGAAACAGCATGTCCCAAACTAAATCAACGCCTGCTCCTGTTTTTGTTGATAGTAAATAGGCTTCCTAAAGTAACAGGAAAAAGAGCCCCATGCAGCATCTAGTTCACACTAAATGACAGTGGCTTAATTAGAAAACCTCAACATCTACCTAAAGTTTTACTTCCAGAAAATCTTCTAGTTAGTCATGATGAATCCTCTGTAGTCTTTTCTTAAGCCAAAGAACATTTGTATTTATACTTTTAGCTTGTAGATTCCCAAAATAAAGATTTTATATTTCATTTTATTAGCACAGCACCTCATTGATAAATATTACATTTTAAGATTTAATAAGTATAGAAGCAGTATTTAGAGCAAGGATCTAGGACAAAGCAAAATCTAGAACAAAACAGCTAAGCTGCACTTTTGATCCTTGAACACCTCAAGGAGGTTTGGTCCTCTGGCTTTTTACCTATGTATTAAGACACCTGTTGACCAAATGTTTACTTTTTAACAGAATCTCTTTCAATGATACACTTTAAAGATTTACTTTTTATTGAAAAGGTTGATTTGCAGGGAGGAATGAGAAACAGAAAGATCTGCCATCCACTGGTTCACTTCCCAAATGGTGTCAGCAACCAGAGCTGAACCAATCTGAAGCCAGGAGCCTGGAGCTTCTCTGGCTTTTCTGCCCAGACGCAGACTCCCAAGGTTTTGGTCTGCGCTCCAGTGCTTTACCAGGCCATATGCAGGAAGCTGGAAGGGAGGTGGAGCAGCCAGGACATGAATTAGCCTTCTACAGGATCCCGGCGCTTGCAGGGGAATTATTGGCCAGTTGAGCTCTTGTAACAGCCTCTCAATAATACACTTTTATTGTAGCCATTTTATATTGCTTTGATAAGAATATTCACATAAAACAGTACATTTATATTAGCTTTTCTTCTCTTTTAGGCACACCAGGTATAATTTCTTCACCATATGCAGGGGCAGCTGGATTTGCCCCAGCCATTGGATTTCCTCAAGCTACAGGTGATTCTTTTAAAATTAATTTGTTAATGAAGTTCTGTATTTTTTAGAAACTTAGTACGATAAAAAGTGTTACATTGAAAGCATGCACAATTCGGGCCTTATTTCTATCAACCACACAAACTTATATGGTGCAGACACTCTCGTTGTACATTGCATTCTCTGGGTCAGTTTTTAATTCCAGTAATTCCATTTTGTGATCTGTATTGTTTATATTTGTAATTGGCACGGGTGACATCCTTTGATTATATTAAATAACTTCAGATTTGCTGTCCTAGTATATGAAATAAATGAGGAAAAAAAGTAATATATGAACTGCTTTTGCCTCTGCTGCTAAGCTTACCATTTCTGTTTTGAGCTTTCCCTGTCATTTGTTCTTCATGCTTTTCTTGGCACTTCATACAAAGTGTGTGTGGCCAGTAAATATTTGCATGAGTAAACATTTTCTATTCACCTTCTTTAAAAGGAGTTCCCCAGGTGACTAGAACATGACTTGCTTCTGATTGTTTTCAAAGGTCTGTCAGTTCCAGCTGTTCCTGGAGCTCTCGGTCCCCTTGCAATCAGTCCCTCTGCTGTTACTGGAAGGATGGCCATTCCTGGGGGCAGTGGGATACCCGGGAATTCTGTTCTGCTTGTCACCAACCTCAATCCTGACGTGAGTTGAAAAGCAATTTAAGGTGTTTCAAGTAGAAGATACAGTGGTTTCTGATCTTGATTGAATTTAAGTTAAATGCCTGTAAGAATTTTAATTAAAACCCATAACTAGTTTATATAGAGGAAGCATAAAGCAGTGTTTTTAACAATATCAGTTGTCATATTGCTGATCACATAAGCTTATTTTCAATTATTTATTCAGACACTTACAGCTTTTTGTTCTTTTCAAACAGCTTGTCACACCACATGGGCTTTTTATCCTATTTGGTAAGTTAGCTTTCCTGCTTTTAATGTTGTCTGTAGCTGGGAATTGAGCACATTTAAAAATCTTTATTTGACTTCCTTTATATACCAAGTAGTGTGTTTGACCCTAAAGATAGGGCAGTGAGACTTAGACATTACCATAAAGTTTTGTAATGGGGGAAGTAGAAGTGGTAATAGGAGGCTAAGGCAGGAACCTAAGCTAGTTGAGAGAGTCAGTAGAAGTGGTAATGCTACTGCCTGCTGGGTGAGAAATGAGGAAGAGTCAGCTGAAGGGGCAGGTATAGCAATGAGAAAGAGGGGAGGAGGGCTTACACCATGGAAGTAAAGGAAACCAAGGGAGAGAGACGAGTGGGCCAGGGCAAGGTTGTGAGGGGGTTGTAAGCTATATGGTTAAAAACTGTAATAACAGTGAGAAGCCATTTAGGAGTTTGAGCCAACAGAGTGTCATAATGAGATTCAGGTTTTTAGAATATTCTCCAGACATTGTACATCAGACAAAAAAAAAGTCTCTAGACTTTTAGAATATTTCCTTCAAAATTAAAAACAATGATTTTAGCACGCATTCCTATTTATATAGTAATTTCATTTTGGTTCAGTGTTCCAAAGGCTGATTATTTCAGTATTTGCTCTTAGCTTATTGTAACTGAAGAATCATAAAGATTGGAATCTAAATGAGAATATTTCAGCATTGCTGTAATTTTAATTTTACTAGTTTTGCAAACTAATCCTTTCATTGCACTTTAGAAAAGTTCCATTTTTCCTGTTAAAGAGGCATTAAAATTTGTATTTGAATATTTTAGGTGGTGTTAAAACTCACTGCTACTCTGCATTTGTAAGATTTTTATAACATAGAAAATTGATCTCGCATTTTTGAGTGGTGACAGGTGTGTTTTTTCTAAGTAACATTTCTGATACTGAGGCATATGTTAATGCAGTTCACCTGCTTTAGCTGTGCAGCCATCACTATAGTCCTGTTGTAGATTTCCATTGCTCCAAAGAAATTTTTTTCTTCATGCTCTTTGTAGTCACTGTTAAAGCTTTTATCAATGACACATTTGTGTGATTTTTAAATAATTAGATCTTAGTATACATACTCAGGACTTTTTAGCCAATGGTTTATTTTTTCCCCCTAAAAATAATTAATTTTGTCCTCATTTTAAAACTATCCACACTTTGCAGAACAAATTATCTGCATTTAGTTTTTTAAAGAACATCCTCTTTGGCTACTTGTTATTTCTGAGAAGAGGAGAAAATTTAGGACATCGTTTGGTTTTAAGTTTTAAAATACCATTCATCTGGGCCTGGCACGGTGGCGCAAGTGGTTAAGGTCCTCACCTTGCATGCCCGGGATCCCATATGGGCGCTGGTTCTATCCTGGCAGCCCCGCTTCCCTTCCAGCTCCCTGCCTGTGGCCCGGGAAAGCAGCAGAGGACGGCCCAAAGCTTTGGGACCCTGCACCCGCATGGGAGACCCAGAAGAGGCTCCTGGCTTCGGATCGGCATAGCATCGGCCGTTGCGCTCACTTGGGGAGTGAGCCATCGGACAGAAGATCTTCCTCTCTGTCTCTCCTCTCTGTATATCTGCCTTTCCAATAAAAAAATAATAAAAATAAATCTTTAAAAAAAATACCATTCATCTTTCAGTTCAGTTCTTGTAAGTGCTCAAGCCAGCAATGCCTTCTGTTCTTTGAGGGTTTTCATAGTCATTCTGTCATTGTGTTACAAAGTATGGTAGGGATGCTGTTATTGAGACGTTTTTATAATATTAATGACACCTTGTAGCAAATAGATTCTGACATGTTACAATATACCTGGTGGGGAAAAAAGAATACCATTCAACTGCAGAATCTGCTGCCTGTAATTTCCTCAATACAGAGAGTAATTCAAGCAGTTTGTGGCAAATGGAGTTAAAACATAAGTTTATTTTGCTGCAAAAGCTTTGGAAATTTTTGGTTACAGTCTTTGAAACATTCATGAAAGCTTATATGAAAACAACTATCCGTGACTTTCAGAAAAATGCACCAAAATTAACATCTCTTTTTGGTTCAGTTTTCCACGAACTTTTTGAAGCACCATCACATATTTTTAAACTTACAAAATGTCATTTTTTATATTGGTTTGTATAGACAGATGAGTATAGATAAGAGTTTGATTCTTTTCTTGACACACACCCTAATGAGTCATCTTATTTTCTGGGCTGCAGGACCCACTTTGGGGCATCACTAGTACAGAAAAAGGTGATAAAATTAATTAGGAGACTGCTGGATTTGGTTGATAAAGAGAGTGGGGAGAAATGAACAAATGTGAGAAGTCTTTAGGCGTGGGATCCTAACTGACAGGATCCTGTAAATCCTGATGACTGATTAGGTATATGAGATTAAGGAAAGGAAAAAGTTAGAAGACTTGGCTTCCCGGTAGGTATCTCACTGGAACAACCACGTGGAAGAAGGTACCATTTGTCCAATTAGTAAACACTGGAAGTAGAGAAGAAAGTGGGGTAGGGAGTAAGTCTGTTTAGTGTTTAGATGAGATAAAACTTTGGATGAATATGTGTGAAATTGCTAAAGGAGATAATGTGGAAAGAAACTTTGTTAAAATAATTACACATAATACAATGTAGGAATTAAAGTTGCTTTGTGTTGTTTGATTTTAATTAGGAGTGTATGGTGATGTACATCGAGTGAAGATTATGTTTAATAAAAAAGAAAATGCCTTGGTTCAGATGGCGGACGCAAATCAAGCTCAATTAGGTATTAGTGATTAATTATGATAATGATAACTTGCCCCCTTTTGGTGTGAATTTTCTTTCAAAGCATACTCATTGCCAATGGGTATATGTAGTTTTACAAAGGTGATATTTTTTTTTATAGTTTGAGGTAATGTCTCCATTACTGCTTATAATTGTGTGTATTTTAAGAAATTAAAAAATCACTTGTAACTTGAAAGTACTTACCTACTTGAATGTTGTTGGTGTTTGACCTTTTTGTTCTTTTTGATTATTTATTTGAAAGAGTTACAAAAAAGAGGAGAGAAAGGAAAACTTGTACCCACTGATTCATTCCTCAAATGACCACAGTGCCTGGGCCTGGGCACGGAGACTCCCACCTGTTTCCTATGCAGATGGAAGGGCCCAGGCATCCCAGGGGCATTAGCAGGAAGCTTGCCTTTCAAATAAATTTTTAAAAATTAAAATATTTTACTATTTAGGTTTTTAGAAAAATGTTTTGCTTGAGATAAAATGAGTATATTGGGTAACCATCTCTTAAGTGCCTGTATTATTCTAGGCATTCTGCAGCTTCCTGTAAAATGAAGCAGTGAAATAACATTTTTCCTAAGTGCTTTTGAACTTCAAACATTTGGTCTTCGTAACTGACAATGCAATTTTAAATGACTAAATAAAAATAATTTATGATAATCTAGGCAAATATTCCTTGGGTCTTAATATCCAGTATTCCCTCCCCCCTCCTTTTTTTTTAATACCAGCAATGAACCATCTAAGTGGTCAGAGACTTTATGGAAAAGTGCTTCGTGCTACGTTGTCCAAACATCAGGCAGTTCAGCTCCCCCGAGAAGGGCAAGAGGACCAAGGCCTGACCAAGGATTTCACCAATAGTCCTCTGCATCGCTTTAAGAAGCCTGGGTCTAAAAACTTCCAGAATATCTTTCCACCATCAGCCACATTGCATCTTTCTAACATTCCGTATGTACCTTATAAATTATTAATTCATTTTAGATGATTGATATACTTAAGATATATGATTTGGAAGATGTAACAGCTCTGAAATTATTCTAATTTAGTGATTACCCTAGTCATCAATTTGTTGTAATGTTAAATATCTGTTATACCTTAAGGTTGCATCATCACTCCTATACTCCAAAAGTGAATGGTACCAATGATTTAAAATTGTCCTTCAAATAGAAAATTTGAAGACAGTCATTTCATTTACAAAAGGGCATAATAATAAATGTATACAGAAATAATCCATCGCTACATACTTAGTCATAAGTAGCTAATATTGTCAATTGATTTATCTTCAAATTTGGTAACAATCAAGTCTATAATGCTTATCTGTAAGAGGTAAAACTTAATACTAAGAATGTTCACTTACTTAAAAGCTGAAAGTGATTTTCCTGTGACCACTTTGCTGTTCTGTTAGCCAGTGCTGTATTGAATGTGTTCTTTAATTATTATTTAAACCAGGGAGTGAGGAAATTCTACCTGTGCTTGTTTTTGTGTCACTGGTAAGCTAAGGAGTTTTACGTGGTAAAATGATTAGAAGTAAATGTACAAGAAAAATATTTTGTGACTTGAAGAAGCCATTTAAAATTCAAGCTTCACCTTCCATTAAGTTTCATGTAACAGCTGTTCTCCCTCATTTGCATATTATCTGGTTGTTCCTGAGCTGCAACAGGAAAGCTGAATAGTTGCGTCAGAGAAGAGATCTGGTTCACAAAATTTAAGATAATTACCATGTAGCTCTTCAGACAAAACTCGGGGACCTCCTGTGTTAAATCTTGCCTTGGCCTAGCCGAATAACCGTTGTGTAGTTTAAATACATACATGTAAGGGAATAAACTTTGGAAAGATGGGGTAAAAATTTAAAGACCAAGGAGGTGAAATACAGAGATTAAGTTCTCAAGCATTGATTATTGAGAATGAGGATAGGCACACTGATTAGGAAAGGAAAATAATGCCAAGTCTATGTTGAATGCCCAGCCTTCCTGCTGATCTCTAATTATTAGACTGGGAATGCTTTCTTGGGCAGTAAATAAAATTCCATGTCACTTAGGAAAGACAGGGAAGTCACTTAAGAAAAAAGCATACAGGTTACATGGTTCTAGAAATTCAATAACTCATCATTGGAGTAATGTAAATGGGCAACAATTAGATGCTGTTGCAAACACCTGTTGCTGGCAACTTCTTAATAGGATACAGTATATAGGAGGTGGTTGACAGTTGCAGCCTACATAGTGGCATGTAGGAGAAGAAAGAACATTAATTTTTAAAAAAGACTTATTCATTTGAAAGGCAGAGAGTAGATATCTATCCAGTGCCTCAACGCTGATCCACGGTTTTGTTTTAAAAATGGTTTATTTTTTGTTTGAAAGGCAGGCTAAGACCAACATAGAGATCTCATGTCTGCTGGTTCGCTCCCCAAATGCCAAGCAAAGCCAGGAGCCAGAAATTCAGTCCAAGTCTCCCAAGTGGGTGACAGAAACCCACCTGCCAGAGCCAGTGCTGTTGCTTCCCAGGATGCGCAGTAACAGGAAGCTGAAATCCAGAGTAGAGCCAGGATTCAAACCAGTCTGCAGGATCTTTGCATCCCAAACAGCATCTTAACCACTGTGCCAAGTACTTACCTGCCCAACAGCAACAGAACATAGAATTAATCATTTAACTACTTGTAACTGTACAGAGCAGTAAAAATTCACATGAAGTTTATTGACATTATTGTACAACCATTACCTTTGTCCATCTGGAGAACTTCTTCATCATTCTAGACGGAAACTCCTCAAATCCCCGTGACTTCTAGTCTCTGGTAACCACGATAACGTATCTTGTTGTTTTCAGTTTATTCACAGTAATTTTTTTTCTTTTATGTCTTTTTACATTCTTACACAGAACAGATTCAACTTACAAAGTTTGTGGAAAAAATTTTTTTTAGGTTATTTTTATTATTTTTACTGTTTGAGGTAGTCACTAGTTTCATTTTATTACTGAAACTGAGGCTCAGGGTAAGTACCAAGCAAGGAGGAAGCAGAGTGCAAACTTCAGTCTCTCGGCACAGCCCATGCTTGCTGGCAGTCATGAGAAGACGAGGTGTCTGCTATTAGTCATTTGACTGTCTTTATCTATCGCTTTGTGACAGGTCACCCTGAAGCTTAGCAGTGTGATACAAAATCCCAAGTATTCATTGTCTTGAAGCTTAGCAATGTGACATGGAGTGCTAAATACTCATTGTTTCTCTTGCTGTGAATCAGATGTCCATAGATGACTTACCTGGGTGGAAACTTAAGGCCTCTTAGTAAAACTTCTGACCAAAATGCTGGGCGAGGGTGTCATCATATGAAGACAGATAATAGCATTTCCTCATTATCATAGGGGTTATGGAGGACTGCTGTGATCAGTATGAGAGGGGAATGCCCAAGTGTGAGCATTAGGAAGCAAGAGTGATGGTGAGCTGGCTACCAAACAGTACCAAGTACCCTGAAAGCAGTGGACATGTGGAGCTCAGTCTAGAGCAGGAACTTTGGGAGTACTCGAGTTAATTAGTGAAGCTAGTAGAGTGTTAGTAATGTCTTTGAAAGAATAAATGTTGACAGACATATTTTGTCCTTTATTTTCTTGCCCATGTCTGCTTGCAATGACAAAGTTCCTTTCTTTGGAGACATATTGGTGTGGAATGTTTTTCATGTCATTTCTATCTCCATTGTGTGGCTTGATAATTCTGTTTGAGATGGAAAAAGTGATGGTTGTTCATCTTGGCTCCTTTGAGAATTGAGGCTAACAGTTGACCCTTGTGCTTTCACAGCCCTTCTGTTACAGTGGATGACCTGAAGAACCTTTTCACAGAAGCTGGATGTTCAGTGAAAGCTTTTAAATTCTTTCAGTAAGTCCCTGCTTTCAAGAAATACATAGGCCTTGTTTGATATGGCATGCAAATTTTTAGTGAGTGAAGTCTTCTGATAGCAAAGAAAAGTTTGGAAGCAGTTAATCTAAAGTATTTCTTAAACCATTTTCAGGAAAGATAGAAAAATGGCGCTCATTCAGTTGGGATCTGTGGAAGAAGCAATCCAGGCCCTCATAGAACTTCATAACCATGACCTTGGAGAAAATCACCACCTCAGAGTTTCCTTCTCAAAATCTACAATCTGACCTTCCTGTGAATTTTTCCCCTAAATTGGACCATAACTTCAGTAAAACCTTCAGACGTAGATGGAAGCAGCTCAAGACCAATTCTGCCTCTTTCACAAAACAACTGTCTGTCTTTTTCAAGTTATATCCACAAAAAATCAAGTGATGTTCTTTTTCCCATTTCCCCCTCCCTGTCATCATGTGATCAAAGGTTTGTTTTTACTTTGAACCATGGTTTCTATGAAAATAAGCTTCAGGAACAAAACCCAGGAAAAAAAATTTTCAGTAATTTAATTTCCTGCATTAAATTGAATTTCAAGAGGACAGATGTTCTCTTGATGGGTCCAGACCTTGTTTTATAGTTTGGGTCCAGATCAGCCTTATCCAGTGTTTATAAACTGCTTTGTACTTTTCAAAATTTAAATATGTGGACTTTCAAATTACTTGATGTAAGTATTTAAATCACTTACAACCAAGTTTTTAACTTTGATTCAAAGTTTAACCCCCTTCAGAAACTATATTCACTTATAAATTATGTCAAATACTTGTCATGAGTTGATTGATTATTAGACATAAACATTGTGTTAGGAGCAGACCTATAACCTTCCATGTTTTCCTTCAGTGGTTCCATTCTTTCATTGTATGACACTCCTTTGAATGCTATCTGACTTACTTTTTAAAAGCTATTTTAAAAAATGAAGTCTCAGCTGTCCCCAGGGAAATTAAGTGGAATCCAGCCAGGATCAGTTAAGGTGTCAGAGTAATTAATAATTTTGTCAGAAAAAATCATGTTTTCAATTTCAAAGTGACACTTATTTGTTGAGTAATATAACATGATCTTGGGAAAATTTTAAAGAGAAACGATCCTTACATTGCAAACTACTTTTATAATTTTCAGAAAAAAAAAAAACGTTTACACTCTTAAGGAATAATTCAGGTCTATCATGGTTTGACAGATTTTTTAAAAGTTATTTTTGGTAAGATCTTCTTTTAGAAAAAAAAATCTCAAGGGTTTTTTGTACCACTATAATCTCTAGTACTTATTCAGAATTACTGTGTATTTACTTAATTTCTTACGTGCCTTATAATGTGCTTAAGATAAAATAGGTTAGAGTTTTATCTAAATATCTTCAAAACTATATTGTGGGCTTGGTGAGCATTTTATTTTGTTTTGCCTATTTTGGTAAGGATTTTAAAGTTTTTTTTTAATTGTGATTTTAAATGCTTTTCAATAAGAGTTTTTATTCAAATTTTTGGTGCTTTGGTGTAGGTGGGCTAGGGAAAGGTGAGAAGTAGAGGGAAAACTCAGCGCATCCTTGTACGCCTCCTTCCATTGTGCGTGATGGCAGTCATTGCCAGTTGTCACACACCAATTGGAGGCTCTAGAATTCAGTCTCTGTTTCCAGATTGTATCTAATTTTATTACCCTTCAGAATTGTCTCAGGGTTACTTGGTTCTTCTCTGTACTCAAGTGAGAACTTGCTTTTCTTTCTTAAATGTAACTGCATTACTGAAAGCTTATGTGTTTGGAGTATGAAAAGGCGAACTATCTCAGGCTCCAAACCTGTCTCTTTTGGTTGAATGTAATAGTCTGTTTGTTGCTTCAGTGATTATATAACATGAAACTATTTCTTTTCAAGAAGAAACTTTGCCTTTGTAAATTGTTCCTTCAGTGCTTTATCCCATTTTTAGAGCAGAATTTATCAGCGGGGTCTCTTTTGTCCACTCCTTTTATACTTTCTTCAGAGTTGCTCATCTCGGCTTTTTAAATACAATATCTAATTTTTTCTTTATTCCCACCATTAATATGAACATAGGGAGGTTTTTGCAAAGAAATTTTCACAGAATAAGGCTTTAAGAGATCATAAAGCTTTTTTAAAAGCAGAATTCAGTCAATACTGAATAACAGTTGGTAGGCACAATGTTGTGACTTTGAAAATCCATTGGTTTACTGTTAATGGAATAGAGGGTTAAAATTATTTGTCCAGGTAGTTTTTCCCCCAATTACCTAAATACTGAGTAGAAAAGAGGGGGGAAATTTTCTCGGAGAAATCTTCCCAAATGTGCTCATTTTTACCCTGGCATGATGAAAGTTCTCGTGGCATATTGGACTGTTTCTTTTGCTTTGAATTGCAACCGTGTAATCAGTAAATCATGAGTCTCATAACATCCAGCATAAGTGTAGCAAGTTACCTATAGCAGAAGGGAGATCATCATATTGGTGTTGAATGTAATTTTGAAGTAGGGAATGGCCTTTAAATCTGAAAGAGAACATTTGAATCCTCTTCAGGGATTTGTGTAGATATGTGTGTGTGCGTGCGTGTGTGTCTGTAATAGATAAGTGTATAAACAACACACACTCTTCTAATGTTGTATATACATATGCACATGACATACATTTTAATTTATTGACAAAGAAAATTTAACCAAATTAAAATTTGGAGAAGGAGAAGGGGCATATTATTTTAAGAGCATGATTGAAGCCATCAGTTGTGTCTAAAGCTTAGCTGTAGCACATGAATGTTGTCCAATTGAGCTAATTTGCTGTTTGATTTATAGAGGTCTACAGTATTTGTGTTGATGTATTTTGTAAAAAGACAAAATATCAGGGTGGTGGACTATATCTTTGTATTGTTTTGGCATGCATTTATTTCATATCTTCTAGGCAGTGGTTTATTTTTAAATTGTCTGCAGTAGTATCTGATTTTTAATTACTTTAAGGAGTTTTTGATCACTTTTCTAGGTATCTTAACTTTTACAAAACATATATATATATATATATATATATATTCAGGACTATTAAAAATAGCAGTACACATTTAACATTGTCTAAGACAACATGTTCTACTTTGAGATTGAATGATTTGAATAGCAGTTAGTCAGACATTCTTCAAGACAAAAGCAGTGTTTCTGATCTTGCCGTTGGAGGTTGCAGGACTCACAGTTTGGGACACAGTGTCTGTCAGCCTTACTCCTTTTAGGAACAGATCATGTTTCTCATGTGGCAAACAAAGCGTTTGTGACAGTTGAAGAAGTAGCATTCATCTCTGTTCAATTTCATAGAAAGTTTGCAAAATCCTCCTTGTCATCAGGCAGCAACATTTATAAATTGTTTCTCTTTTGTTCCCGTTAAATGTGTTTGGGCACAAGACAAAAGAAGAGATAGACTCAAAAAGTGCGATCTCCCACCATACCCCCAGCTAGTGAATCATTTAAAATCCTAGATTTGTCAAACTCTCAGCCTATCTCTTAGAAAACCTAATGTGTACTGCTATTTTTCAAACCAAAAAGAGAACATGACTATGTGTAAAGCATTTTTCTTATCCTTTCCTGTCTTGATCTGTTCACAACAGTAAAACTGCCAGTTAAAATGTTCTATTGTGCTAAAGGAAATTTAATTGCACAAAATTTTAAACTATAACTCAGCTGTCTTACAAGAGCTGTGTTGTTATCTGCAAGAGTGCAGTTTTCAGAGAAAATTCTAACAGCTAATAGTAAATGGTTTAAAAAACAGAAAAATATTAACATCTTAGTTTGGGGTTTCATAGAGGGAGAAAAATAAAACAGGACCAAAGTTTATGTGCCTTCTTCAATAGTCTTAATTGAGCTTTTCTTTTTTTGAGAGTAAGGTAGTATCCGTATTCTGGTCTTCAGGAAATATGTACAGTACAGTTTTTACCGACCATTGTCCCACAAGCTCCTGCAAGCAGAGCATTGTAACTATGTAAATAAAGCTTCAGTTACAGTTTTGCCTTCAGCACATGATCTTGGTTAGAGCCTGTGCCGGTTCAGGAGCAGAACCCGGCTGCTCTCAGTCTTTGTGACAGCCCTCTGTTTTTTTTTTTACCTGAGGCATGTGTTCTAGGGAGCAGGGATGTTTGTCTGGTCCAGTGACCTTGATGATAACAGCATCGTGATTGAAAGCTGCCTATACCAACTGAAGTAGCTCTGCCGGCAGGTTTTTGTTGTTGCTACTTGATAGTGTTTTCTTGAGTCTTTGAAGTAGGTGTAATAGCAGATATTTAAATAGCTATTTTTGATGTTGTTAAAAATCATACTCTGGTCTTTTTTTTCCTACCCTCCCTTTTTTACCATTGTCACCCAGATCCTATTAAAATGTGTCTCAAGTCCAGAAAATGCTAATTATAAAAATTGCTGACCAAGCCAAGATTTCCATCATAATGTCACCTCATTGCTCTGACCAAAGACTGACTTGCGGTTTTTAACTCCTCTCCTCAAGCATTTTCCCCAAGCTCCTTTCTGAAGGAACCAAGGCAGAATGGCCTTCGCTTTCTGTTTCCTGTTGGTAAATAGACTATTTGGAGAAAATGTGGAGTTCAAATGTGAACAGAATGTTTAGGATGGCAAGGTTTGGTGGGCATTTTCAGTACTGTATTTAAGAAGAAAAATAGCACAGCTAGAAGCCTCTGATGCTATCTCATGTTTCATGTGGTCTGTTCATAAAAGTCCCTTTTTTTGGTTTCTAAGAATGTTCATCTATCAGAAGAAAATGCTGTAAATATTTATAACAACTTTTCTTTTTTTAGCCAGGCCAAAAAAGAGAAAAGGTTTTTGGGAACAAGTTAACATATAAAGTGATTTTATATAAAACATCGATTGTCTTGTATATTTTGATAAGCAACAGTACCAGCTTTCATTTGTAACACAGTTTGTGGTATTGGAAGAAAAGGACTATGTGATTGTTGAAGTGATTTATGTAATAAATGCAAAGAGATGATAAAATATTAAAAAAAACATATTTTTAAATGCGTAGTGCATGGTTACTTCAAGCTTCTGTATACTACAGTATATTCCATTTTCATTCAGTTTGTATATTTGTTGACTATTACTTGATATCTCTAATCTCTTTTCCTAACAGGTACCACATTATAGCATGCCTTGCCTTTTAATAAATGTCATGACATCTGTACTCTCTTAAGAATTTTTCTGTGTTCTTGTCTATACTTTGGGTTTCTGCTTGTCTCACCTGCAATTCTAGTAATGTCATCTTTTCTTTTCCATAGCCATCCATATAAATTTGTCATAGTGAATAACAAACATGTCTTCAAACATTAAAAACTAAGGTAGGGGGAACCAAGTCTAGTAACTTTCTTTTTAAATTTAGCAGCAACTTTGGCAGGAAAAAAAAGTTTTTGGTTTTGGTTTTGTTTTTTTAATCCTGGATGGCACCTTACTAAGTTATTCTCCTGTGAACACACATCCTTGTTAGCATGCTTGCTTGGCCTGCACCTCTCATCCTTTCTCCCCCTGTGTGAACACTGGCGAACCAGAGCTGGAACAGGTTCCGGTCAGTTCAGTTTTGTTGGTCCCTGTGGTGTTGGTATGCGTCTGCCTTGAAATGTGAAATGTGGGCTCTAACGGGGTGCTTTGAGTTGCAGTAGTACAGTGACCTGCTGATGTTTTTCCTGATATAGATGTTTCACCTCTCTGTTCCTTAAAGGGAAACTGAGAGCCTAAGCATTCCCAGTGAAGGTGTCATGCTAGGGTCTCAGGTGTGATAATTTGTTTTTAGTGTAATAGGAAATCTGGTATTCACTATTGATCCTTTGCTAGCTTGCATATAAAACCTCTGTCATTTGATAGAAAATTAAACATTTATTTTAGCATAAGAGGCATTTTTATTAGGAAAAGAAATCATGTGGCCAAATGAGGCTTTTCTAAATTTGATTGGTTGTGAACTGCTTGTTTGCACAGCCCAGGGCTTCAGCCATCATTAAAAGGCATGCAGCTTCTTTGAGCATAAAGGGATCGTAGAGACCACCTCGTCTCCTTCATTAATTAACTGCAGGCTCCGGCCTTGAACCTGGATCCTCACACATTGGCAGAGCTGTACTGCTGAGTGTTGTTATGTGGCCATCATGGTTCCGAAGGTCTGTACACACTCACTGCACGTTTGTGTTCTGAAAATGACAAAAATTCAGTCATTCATGACTGAATCCATGGTGGCAGTGTTTCCTGCCAAAGTACAGAAATTCCCACCCATGTATCAGACACTAAAAATGTAGCTTCATGTTGTACATCTGGGAAGTTTCTTCAAAAATATAGTGACCCGGATGTTGTGTTTTTCCTGGTGATGGAGAGGCCAAAGTTCACAGTCAAGCAGGCGGCAGTGCTAACTTCCTACCAAAGCCTTGTTCCTTGGGTCACAGAACCCATCCCTCCCCTGCCAGTGCTCTTGTGTGTGTGTGTCTGTGTCCTAGTCCCTTTCTGGTGCTAGAGAAGATTAGGATCAGCCTATATAATCTTGTTTTATTTTAACTTTTAAAAAATATTTATTTTAAAATTTTTATTGGAAAGTCAGATACACAGAGAGAAGGGAGGGGAAAGAAGATCTTCCTTCCACTGATTTGCTCACTCCCCAAGTGACCCCAGTGACCGGAACTGAGCTAATCCAAAGCCAGGGTCCCAAGGCTTTGGGCTGTCCTTTCCCAGGCCACAAGCAGGGAGCTGGTTGGGAAGCAGGGCCACCAGGATTAGAACAGGCGCCTATTTGGGATCCTGCCACGTCTGAGGCAAGGACTTTAGCCGCTAAGCTACTGCACTGGACACTATTTTAACTCTCATTTGGGACTATGATTTAAACTCAAATTGGGGTTTGGGGGGAGACACAATTCCATAGCCCTACTCAGTAGAAATTCCTTGGGCAATCAGCGTGCCTCAGATCAAGCCACCACATCTGCTGAGTTGCCTGGGTTCTGGCTCTTGGGAGGCAAGCTATGGGGCCCATGGGCTTGGGTTCCTTACGCCTATGTGGGTGCTGACGTAGTTCCTGGCTTAGCCACAGCTGTTGCAGGCATTCGGGGAAGGCACCAGTGGACGAGAGCTACCTCCCTCTTTCCTTCCCTCTGTCATTTTGCCTTTCAAATAAAAAAATGTCTTTTAAAAGAAGTTATTTGAACTCATCAAGCTTAGGTGCCAGGAAATTACAGTTAATTCATGGTGACTACCTTTTAGGAATGCATAACATTATTTTGTTGACCTACACAATATTAAAACTCTGTTAGAATGTGGGATGCCATGGCCTGAACTGTGCCTTGGAGCTCTCACATGTAATGTGCATTTGTCCCTCTGTGACATACCTACACATGTTTTGTGGTCAAAACAAAAACTTAATTCTGTCTCTCTAAATAGTGTTATCCCCAACTAGATTGAGAAAATATATATGTAGATATGTATGTGTATGTAGTGCATTTTCGGCTTGTTTCCACAACTGTAATCCTGACCTGGCAAACTAATCCATTTTTAAAGGAAGCTGGAAAGGCCTACCTAGTTCTCTGTCAACTTAGAAGGATACTGACCACTTTTTTGCAAGAATACTTTATAGATGGTATTGGGTATTTCTAATGCATATTGTGACATCAGTATATAACATTTTGTGCTTGTTTTGCAAAATATGTGATATGGTAAGGCTATCTTCTTTTTTTAAGATTCTATTTTGAAAGATTTACAGAGAAAAGGAGAGAGAGAGAGAGCCCTTCCATCTGCTGGTTCACTCCCCAGATGGCTGCAGTGGCCAAGGCTGGGTCAGACTGAAGCCTCCAGGTACCTGGACCCAAACACTGTTTTCTCAGATGCATAGCAGGAAGTTCGATCAGAAGTGGAGCAACCTGGATCCTGTGGGATGCTGCAGCTGCAGGTGGTGACTTTACCCACTGTGCCAGTGTTAACACACAGGTTCTTAAATGTCTGTTACTGTGTCCCAAGAATAGTGGCTATCAGCCCAGATCTCCCAGAACAGGCATAGAATCTTTGCACTTTTAGGACACTTCCTTTTTTAAAATAAACTCAAAAAGTAGTACCTAGGGCTACAGAATTAACTGTGTGTGGGCTTAGTATGTGACAGATTATCTCAGAGCTCAAAGAGATTGCAGGATTTTAGTGGTAGTTCCTGTTCACTAAGAATTCAGGTCTGGGCACCAGCATAATGGATAAATTGGCCAATCCTCTGCCTGTAAGCACCAGCATCACATAAGAGCCCTTCTTCGTGTCCTAGCTGCTCTGCTTCTCTGCTTCTGGCTGGGGAAAGCAACAGAGGATGGCCCAAAGCCTTGGAATGCTGCACCTGCATGGAAGACCTGGAAGAAGCTTCTAACTCCTGGGTTTGAATTGTCTTATGTCCAGCCATTGCAGCCATTTGGGAAGTGAACCAGCAGACAGAAGATCTTTATCCTGCCTGTAAATCTGCCTTTTCAGTAAAATATAAACATTTTAAAAATTAGTCTGTAAGAAAATATATGGCACCCATACAGAGATCAGTGTGTTATGAAATAGATTATCTGTTCCATAAATAGAACTTCCTTTCACTTGGTAGGAGTTTCTGATGTCACCAGCCCCAGTTTCTTGTTCCTGGAAGTCTAATTTCCACTGTGATGATTCTGGCACCTTAGAACAACAAGTGGCTTCCTGAAGAGCAGCATCTGGCCTAAGCTATGGTGCCAGCTGATCACTGAAGCATAGACAGCCTCACGGATGCTCCCAGGAGGCAAGGAGTGTCTGCCTCACCCTATGAAGACTACTGTCCTCTCCACTTTAGGGCTTTGGGTATTGTGCCCAGCTCCTAAAGCACCACTACCTTTAAGCAGGCATGGATTTACAGGGTGTGAACTCACTGAAGCTTGACTGTGGCCATTATGCTTTGGGGTAGCTTACCTTCTTCCAGCATGTCCTGCAGAAGAGTAGATTTTCCAGATGCAGATAATCCCAAGGAAGTCAAAATATACCCTGACACATTGCCTCAGCTTGCAGGAACTGCCATAGCAAAATACCCCAAACTGAGTAGTGTAAGCAACAAGTTTTTGTCACAATTCTGGAAGCCATCAGTCTGAAGACAAAGTGTCAGCAGCAGTGGCCTGTCTCCTGGTGGATAGCCATGCCATCTCCTTGTGTGTTTGTCCCGCTCTGCATCTATGCCCCAGTGCCTCTGACAAGTAAACCAGTTATGTTGCATTATGGCTGGCTCACAATCTCATTTTACTTAACATTTTAAGGATTCCTTTGAAACTGTGACTTTTTTTTATTGTAAACAGTGTGCTATTTTGAGATACTCTTTGTATTGGGGTCTTTGCAAAGAACCAATAAGCTAGATTGAGATTGACAGACAGAAGGATTTACTAGAGGAATTGGCTCATATAATCAAAAGTGGCTGAGAAGTTCCAGCATAGTCTGGCTTTGAGATGGACAACGAAAGAGGTGGGTAGCATGGGTTGGGCAAAATCCCAAGCCTTGGCACCACAGTAACTGGTGGTGTAACTCTGAAACAAGCTAAAGCCAAAGGCCAGGCAGCTGGCGGGGAGTGGGGGTGCAGGAGGTGTGATACAAATCACAGAGTCCAAGTTGCCCTCAATTGGAGTGCTGATGTGTACTAGTCAGGAGTAAATGGTTCCTGCTCTAGCTGAGAGCAGCTTTCCCTTATTCTGCCTTTGTGTTCTATGCAGGCTCTCTGACAGTTGGGTGGGATCCCTCCACACTGAAGGTGGATCTGGCCAGACCCCCTCACAGTAACACCCATAATTAATTCTGTACTAGTTCTCTAGGTGTCCTTTAATCCTGTAAATTCACAAAAATCGCAGTTGTCAACACAAACTCCAAGGGGACCTAATTAATCCCGTAACACCTACTGTCGGCATAGGAGCCAGACTCTACAAAAAGCTCTTTGTCCTTCAACCTTATGGACTGAAGTCTGTGGCATTTGTGCAGGGAGTTAAGACTCCAGAGAATTCTTAAGTGTGTGTGTGTCCCCTAGCTTCAACCTGGCCCAGACATAGCCCGTGCAGCTATATGGCAAGTGAACCAATGAAGAAAACTTCCCCAGCCCCCTCTGTTTCTGTCTGTGTATGTTTCTCTGTTTTTCCCTTCTGTTGCTGTCACTTTACCTTTCAAAACAAGTTTTTCAAAAGTTTTATTAAATGAATGTAGGAG